ACGATCTTACATATTTTATCTCCTACAAGAGTACTTAGAAAAGTAATAAAAACAACAAACTGTTTTTGTGCAATAATTATTATTAATGGGATTCTTGGAGGCAGGTTGATATTAATCAGTTTTCTTTTCTAGACTCCCAGAATTTTTACTGCATCTTTTCATACTTTTATTGGAAAGACATTTCAAAATTAAAGACAATTATTCATACCAAATAGCACCTTAAGTTGCAATGCTTTAAGAACTTAAAATCAATCTTTTTTTCAACTTAAGCCCCTTAAAAGAGTAAGTTGTATATTTCTCCCCTTACCTTGTTTTAGTTTAAACAAACTCTTATTTTAATTTGTGTCTTCTTTAGAAAAAAGGAACAGGACACATTTTGTTTTTTTATATATATATATATAGAATAAACTTTGTTTTTATTATAGACATAGATCAAAAATAAAAGTTTTTATGTACATATGACATATAGTGCAAACGAAAGGCTTTTAAACACCACGGATGGACATGCTGTTGGAAACGAAAGGAGATGGATGATGGGGGTTAGGATGGTCGTCCTGGAACGGCAGGAGGGGGTCGCCTGGTGAAAACAAAACAAAACAAAATAACAAAAAGAAAAACACAGATGCAGCGGAAGCAAACGATATTTGAATGATAAACCCAAATTAAGAGCATGCAAAATTATCCCACAGAAGTCCAATTCAATCAGACCAAAGAAGCATGCAGACACCGGGGGACACGGGAGAATACCACGCGGCTGGTAGCCGTTCCAGGACTGTTTCTGGCTATCAGTAGCGTGACAGGTACGAGCCACTTGAGTCCACTCCAAGATCTTATTTTGTACCGTGGAATGAGGAATCCATGCATCGCATTCAGAACTGGGCACAGTACCGGAGCCAAATACCTTTATGACTCAAGAATTTGATTCCCAGCCCCAACTTTGGGACACTGGCTTATTTCCAAAGATTTCCACAAATGTTGTGAAATCTCCATAGTGGTGAGAGGGAGTTGCCATAGAAATATGACAGGTGACATTTTTTCAAGGTGGGGGAAATGAGAAGGTGTCAAAAGATCACATGAGCTATGTAATCACAATGCAGAAAATGTCAGGACTGGAGAAAAGGAATTTGCTCCAGGTGAATATCCTGATGTGACAGCTTTTCGGGGCCCAGGGAAACTACAAGGTGAGGCCTGGTCCACGGTGACCCCAGGATTTTGTAGGATTTCCCTCTATCTCCGAGCTGGGTGCCACTGAAGTTCTGATCGGTTCTGACCTGGGTCCAGGGTACATGAGATTTGGTTTGCTGGGCTCTCTCCATGCCCTTAGCCTGGCCTGCATCTCGTCAGGCCCACGGGCTGTGAAAGAAGGTCCCAGAGCTGTGCCGAACTTGGACAGCAGCCTCTCTGATGGTTTGGGGCTGGAGAAGGTCCAGTAAAGTCTCCAGAGCCGCACACAGCTCTGTGAGCAGAACAGCAGGTCAAGTGAAGCTTCCCCGCTGGTTTCCGGCAGAATCTACACCTCAGTGTCCTCTTTCTAACCAAATCGGGAACAGACTCAACATTACCACAGCCCATGGCCGAGGGGTTAGCTCGGTTGGCGCCCTGCCCTCTGGGGGACTTCTTTGGGGCTACGTGTTCAAAAACATACTCACTTCTGTCTTACTCTTGTAACACTTCAGTGAGTGGAGCAATGAAGTCTACAAAAAAAACAAACACAAAAACAAGAACAAACTTCTTTTTCATCTTCTCTGAGATGTTAAGGAGCCAAAATGACAGGGCAGTGGTTAAAAAAAATCCCACAATCTTACCCCCCCCCGCCCCCCAAGTCCAAGACCAATTTTTCTTTGGTCCAATTTAAGCTGGCTATACTTAAGAGGCCTCCCATCCATATAAATGATAAAGAACTTGTTATTGGTGCCTAACCTTTCAAGTGGGGAGCTGGGGGGCGGTCTGCAAGCCTTGAGCTGCTGAGATCCAGGTAATGGGTGTCCCTGGTGTTTTCATGAAGAAAGTGGAATTAAATTCCAGGCAGGCTCAATGAGATTTATTACCTGCCCAGCAAACAGAAACTATTTTTGAGCTCTGAAAGGGTTTTGGGATACTTTAATGACCTCAGCAGGGTGGAAGGTGAGCCATTAAACCCAGCAGCGAGTCCCAAGTGCTGAAGGGACATTCTGTTTGCATTTGCCAAAGTGCTTTCCTGTTGGAGCTAGTTTGATATTCTAACCCAGACACAGGACCAGAAACTCCATGTCTCAGAATACAGGGTGTCCCTCCAAAATGTATACACGCTTTTAACCTATTATTAATTCCAATGGGTTAAATCTGAGAAGAAAGAAACACTGGCTGAGCTATATCAGTTGTTGAAGTGTGTATACATTTTTTAGGGACACCACCAACAAGAATGTTTGCTTCCAGCCTCAGAATGATGTTTATCCCCTCAGACAACTCTGTCTTTTCCTCTTCACTTATCCTGGGCCTAACTCCTCCTGGTGTCAAAAAGGCATTGTTGACAGTGACACCATACACTGGCTCAGGGTCCGTTGTCGTGGATCTCCGCAGTCCAGGTTTTGCTATTTCCTTTCCAGAATTTTCTATATATTGCTTGTGCCATGCTGAAGTGCTTGAAGGCAAGTCCTGAGACTCTCTGGACTTTCCTATAAAGAGTTTTATATGTTGCCGGCTCTCATATGAAAGTCGGAGGACTGAACTCAAACACTGAGTGGCTAACCAATTTCAGAGCTCATGGTATACGAGCTAATCTACCTAACTGAGATTATAATTTTAGGCTACACCTTCTTAACCTTTCTGAAAAATAACTTCCCAGAATTGTTTGGCCAGGACAGGAAGGTGAGGAGACAGGAAAAGCTGTGTATGGAACACGGGCATAACTCACACAGAGAAGACTCAAGTATTAATGAGCGGTGACTCACCCCCAGCCACCGTGCTGCAGTCTGGCCTTAGGGGGACATTCCTGGGGCAAGATCCCCGGGAAGGTCTTCCTCGGAACTTTTTTCTTTTCTGTCACGATCTCACAGAATCTCCCCTGCTTGCTTTTTTTGCCCATTGTTCAGAGACCTTAAATCCCAGGGCAGCGGAGGAGCCCGAAGTCTTGGGAAAGTACAACAAGAAAGGCTGTAGGAATAGGGATCCTTCTCGATTTTTCTCTGATGCCCCGTCATTTGAAATCAGCCTGGATCCCTCCCTTTACGAGGATAAAATGGGGGCGATGGAATTAATGTAAAGGAGCTCTTGTTTGGAGAGCGAGAGGGAAAAGGGTATTGAAAATCACCCGGCTCCCCTACAAGACTTGCTAAGACTCACTGCGTGCCCCTCTCGAAATGGCTTCCTGCAGCCTGTTCCCATGTGACCTTCCTGCTTGGGGTCCCCACACTCCTGTGACAAAGCACCAGGGCTCCAGGAGGACCGTCCCAAGCTGGGAGCGCTGGCTGCTCTCACAGTTGACAGTCTTTGCTGGGCTGGTCACCCAGTGCCTTCTTCCCTCTGGCCCGAAGCCACTGATGCTGTTAGGTGTCTGCCACGGGGGGCCCCTGGGATACCGTCCTGTGAGACGCTCCCTGAACAAAGCACCGACGGGGACTCTAACCCCCTCTTGGAGGTTCACGGTGCGGCCTCATGTAAAGCTCCGTACGGTCTTCCAGAACGAAAACACTGACTCTAGTCACCCTTGCCCGGGTACCTTTAACCAGACACCCCTGGTGCATGTGGTGAAACTTACTAAAATCTCACGGGATGCACTCTGGGAAACTTCACAGACGTCTCTCGCACATATTCTAACTATTAGGTGCCACAGAGTGAAAGATCGCCGATACGTGGCCTTCAGAGTGACCGTGGCGGGTGTGGGTTGTACCGGGACGGAAAGCACGACAGCCGCCTCACTACTCTCCCGGTTGACAGTCTCCCCTGGCATGCTCCTCGGGATGCGACTCAGATTCCCACAGAAAAACGAGAATCTGGAAAACTAACTGAGCAGCTATCTACACTGGTGCCAGCACTGCTTTAAAAATACCAATGAACATCTGTCACGTAGTTACAATAAGATCCCCTGGTTTTGGTCATTTCCATCAGAAACTATTCTGAATACAGAACCGTGCGGTAAAAGGCGGCGCCCCCCCGGCAGCCCGCAGCGCACGGCAGGGCGCCGCTCCCCTCCCGACTCCCCGCGCTCAGAGGCTGCCTTGAGGGCAGGACAGCGCCACACCCGGGAGGTGCGGGGACGCGAGAAAGAGGCGGCAGGACAATGTGAGGCAGCACAACAGTCTTTCCCGCTCATCAGCGAGCAGAGCCTGAACGCAGGACGCTGGCCCAGCGTTTCTCCCCCGAATTCCTTCTTGTCTCTGCGCCATCTGGGACTCTGCATGTTAGTAAGGGACCGAGTCTCAAGACTCTGAATAAAGAGTCTTTCTTTCTTCTCTGGGAACAGTAAGGACAAGGATGTGTGTGACTACTGACCACTCTTCCATTCTCTTCGTGTTGGGGAAATGGAAAGGGGTTAACTTCTCCCCTTAATCCCTGGTGAGTAAACAGCGGAGGCCAACTACTGAGTCAGGAGCTCAATAGTTCCTGTAAGAAATGCCTTCCACGGACCTAACGTTTGGGCCAAGTGTTCTTCCTCCCTCTGCTTCCCAGGGTGTTTCATGAACACTTCCTTTGCAATAGCAAAATGTCACGGTGCCTCTTGGCGGGTGTCACGTCACACCCTCAGCTGTCTAAGGTTTGGGTCCTTCTCGAACTTGATCCAACAATGACTTCAAATCAGGAATAAAATGTCTCCCACTCTCCTGTCTTTGATTTTTTTCCATTTGCTCCCTTTAAAAAATCTCGTTCTTTCCTGAATTAATGACAGTAATGCCAAATGTCATCCTCCACGTCGTTCTGGGCCAATCTGATCAAAAGAGTTAGAATCATTTACAAGTTTCAGATCTTTACTGATACACAAAGAAATGACTCAGATACAAACAAAAATGAGGAAGGGGGAGTCCTTCAAAGGTTATCATTTATTTCAGGTTCAGAAATACAGCTTCACATTTTCACAACAGGTCCACGTGACCTTCAAGACTGATACAGGCTTTAGGAACTGGCTTCCAAAATTCCACTTACAGAGTCCATCCATATATCATCATTAAGAAACCTCCAAAGTGCCAAGAAGACAGTGGAAAGTATTCTGGCTCAAATTAATCAAAGACGACTCAACAGTGAAGACAAGATTTTGCTTCTGTACACTGCTTCTTCATAAAAAGGCAAAAGAGGAATTTGATTTTTAAAAAAGGGAGTGAAAGTAAACATAGACAAGCAAGCAAAACACAGGTTGTGCACATGAAATCAAACACCAATCAAGTCACGGTGGAGTTTCTGGCTGGCAGGAATAATTTTTATCAAGTTGGCAGCAGACAATGCAAGAGGCTAGACAGAGTCATTTTTATCATAATTTTGAAAACATTACGTAGTGAGCAAAGTTGGAGGAATTCAAGGGTAAAAATGAAAGAAATGGATGCCTTGAGCTGAGCCACACATGAAACCTAGACCAGAGAGGTGAGAAGTCTCACCAACATACCAGGATGAACAGGTCTTAAGACAAACAAGAGGCTGTCCTTGAGCTTCCCCTCTCTTGTCCTCACATATTCACACACTCACACATTCTTACACATATATACCAAGGGCAGGGCTTATACTGCATATGCCTCAAAATAGTCTTAAAGCTCAGGATACAGAGCACCACATAATTTTAAACACACACCCACTAGACGAGATTTATTTAAGATGATCTAGGAGGCACACTTGAGCTTTTAGGAAAGGACTGAGTGAGTGATCGAGTGAACTAACAGTTGTTTCTCTGAAATCGTCCAGCTTCCTTCACATTCAACTCTGATCTCACAGCTAGCAGTCCTCTGGGCGAAATGATACAAAACTCATGGCTTGAGTCTCGCCTCTCCTCTCCTCTCACTGAGGTCCATAGAGGCCTACTATGTAGGCTTTATTCTCAATGGTAAAGAGATTCCTGTCAATTTCAAACAATTCACTCAGAGTCCCATTGCTTTTATTACATTGCTGTATCCCTCGACTTTATTTTTTAACCTTTACTGGAGAGAAAAGATGACTATGCAGACCAACTTAGCCTTTTAAGATTCAGCTCAGCAATCCACGGATAATTAGAGATCTTAAAGGTAGGTTTCCAGATTTTACACTTCTGATCGAACTGCATTGGCAAAGGTTATTTCTTCTTAGACAGCAGTACTGTGGATTTAGATACAAATGCCCGTGGATGTTATTCTACTATGTTGTCATGGTAACTCTCAGATTTGTGCCTCTCAGAACGAGTACAATCTGGAGAAAATTCTGTACACCTCATGTACTCTATGAGAAATGGACCACTGTTTTCACGTATTATGTAGCAGGTTCTCCAAAGCTCCCTCTTGTATTAGCACAGTTTAAAAAACAGATCCATACCCACACATACAAAGCACACGTATACATAAATATTTACACCCATACATATACACACACATACAGTGCACACACAATCACACTCATGCTTGTGGCATTTTAACAAGTGCTTTTAAACCTACCTACCCAAAGGGGCACAAAATACAGGTACTTACAGAAACAAATTTACTACGTATACACTGTTATACATAAAGACACATGCATAGAAAAGGTGTTGGTACACAGAAAACATCAACATTGGTCACATACTGGTATTAGGTCCCATTTCATATTTGAGAATTATGGCTAACGCTATACTAAAAAGTCATAAAATTAATCTATAGGACTAGTATTTATTCCTAAATCAGAAGCTGGTTTCATTATAACATTTTAGAGTAGATGAGTTTGTATCTGAACACAGAGGCAATTTGCTAATAAACAGACCCCACTGCTCTTCTATGTTACAAAACACAGCTAAAAGCAATATTCAGAAGAGTAACTTTGGTAGATGTTTTCTGGAAATGCAATATAGCTGTCCTAAATTAGTACTATTTCAATAACCTGCCCACGGTTGAGTAAATGGTTATTCCAAATTAGTCAATAAGCATGCAAGATTTAGCATGTGACAGTAAAATAGACTGACCCATCAAAGAGACAGTTTATTTTTCCAAATCCCAAAACGCTGTGTGTTTTGTTACACGAGACATGACGGAGCTCCATCTCTTACACAGGCCACATGAGAGTTAGGAGGACATTACGAAGGACCCCGAGTGGAATGGGAAACACTCAGGAAGCTCAGAGCCACATCCCCACCTTAAGGCCTGGTGTGAACGCTGTGCCTCTAACTACGCGCATCCCAGCGTCTCCCACTGCACTCGCGTCGACACCTCCCGTCAGCAGGATGCAGGCCCTCTGCGAAATGGGATTAACGCCCATCACCGGACATCGTACTGCAGAACGAGACTATTCTCCAGCACGGCAGCTGAGATTCCAGGGGTGGGGGGCTGGGTCCCATCAGGAATTTACTTAGAACTAGAACTAGAAGAACTAGAAGAAAAACGGACCCACAAGGAGAGGCAGTTGGGACAGTGAAACCGGGGGATTATACTCTGAGAGCAAGAGCCAAGAGGACAAATGCCGTTGTTTACGGCTGCGTAAGATCGGGGAAAGGACCTTGGAAAAAGAACCTCCAGTTTTCCCTGACACGGTTTGTGCTGATCTAAGAACATCCCTGGTTATTCACGATATTTTCCTCTCACAGAAGGACATTTCTGAAGTGCAGCAGAACGTAAAACCACAAACAGCACAGAGCAAAACCCTGGAGTATATGTTCCGCGAGCTGCCCATTTTAGAGAATTCAAAGGAAGAAGCAAAGCGAATCCTTAGGAGAGAGGATTTTATGAAAAGATCTCACTGTGGATTATTTATTTCATTATGGATGTTTACTTAACATATTTCCATTTATTTTTAGAAAAACAGTATGTTTCTTGCACATCTGTTCCCTTCACAAAGAGTTAATGTTTTTTCCAATGGGGGGGAAAAAAGATATGAGAAGATTTAGGGTGGTGATCTTTATATAATCACTTGTAACTTAAAAGTCGAAATGCCCTTTTTATGAATCTTGAACTCTCTGGTTTTTGCCCGAGTGGGCTAGCTGTAACCCTTTAGAATAAGTTCAAAACGATGCCATCCAGCTTGGCGAGTTCTCTTTTTAATAATGGCTGAAAGTTTTTACTTCATGCTTTATGGGTGTCTGCTTTGGGTATAAACTACACAGGAAATTAAAGTTAAGCTAACATACAAATCATGTTTGCTGCTTTCAAAGAGAGACATTTCGGTTGGTGAAAACTGATTTACTTCTGCTGAATATGAAATAGTGGCGCGGGACGCCGCCATCCAGAGAATACTTGGTCTGCTGTCTGGGAGCAGTTAGCAAACAAAATTCCAGTTGGCTTCTGGCTGTTTCCTACGTGCTAATCATCTGGTCCTAGGTTGTCCAAAACTCAGCCCCAAGACTGAACTATTAACCCCCAGGCGATGGGCTCCTGTAAACTTCAGAAACGTTAGCATTTGCCCACTTGCTTTAGATCTCAATGTCTTAATGCCGTTTTCTGGAATGACCTGGATAAAGGCTCAGAAGCTGTTCAACTATAAAAGTTGCCTGAGTGGCTTTTCTTTTCACTCCAGGCCCCATTCATTAAATATGGTCATCCCATAGTGAGGCTCACGGTTTGTGAAGAAAGCCTAGAATGGACAGAAAGTTACTTTAAGCCTGTTTTAAAGGTTAGGGTAAATTTTTACGTAGGAGAATTAAGTACTAGCAGAGAAAGAGAGAAATATTTTTGCTCCAACCAACCAAATAAATAAATCAACTGGAGTTAGTGTCAAAGCGTAGTCAGCCAAGCCTAAAATTAAATGGATCTGAAAAAATAAATATTTTCCATGTCAGCCTTCACTGTAACCTAGGAAGAGGTTAATGATAAACTAGTAAAGAAATTACATTTTCCAGATACTTCTAGAGATGTGATGTTTTGCTTCTTCCTGAATTCTGAAATTAACTAGTCAAATCTATTGACTGGCTACAGGAAAACAAGCTCTGATTTGCTCTCGAATGTGCCGCTAGCATGAAACCAAACTCACTGGCAGGAGGAGCAGCCCTCTGGAGCAACCAAGGCAGTAACTCATCCTTTACAAACTGCCTCGTTCTTCCAGAAAAGCTTTGTTCTTAAGAAATCCTAATTTAAAAAAATCACTTCCTAGCAGTCTTATGAAATAAAGAGGAAGGAATGGATCTAAACAGGCAATTACGGAATAGACAGAAACATTAACAATAGACAATACTATTTCTGTCAACCAAAACAGAATGTGGGAAAATAAATGTGTATGGCTTAGGTATGAGCCCACCATCTGCTATCTCTTAAGAATTACATTTAATGGGCTGTCAGGAAGGTAACCTGGGAAACTGGTGCGAAGCAATTTCAAATATATGCCAGGGTAGGCAAACAGTCCCCGAGGTAAAGGGCTGCCACACAAACCTACCTTGGTCCATACAACATACGAAGCCTCGAAGGGTCAGCAGTTTTCAAGAGTCAAACCCCAAAGGTTTGACGTACCATGAGCAATGCAGATGAGTGACGAATGCGTTAGTAAAACTGGTTACTTGCCTACTGGTGTCCACACATGCGACTACTCATGATTTACTGCAACAGTTATCAAATGTGTTGCTTTCGCATAATTCATTAGTAATGAACTGCCATGCCACACACTTCGTTTAGTCTAACAGGGAGGATTCTAGTGGACGGATTATAGTGGGACGAGTTGGTGATGGGGGTGGTCTCCGGCTAGAAAGAGAGAAAGAGAAAGGTAAAGAAACAGGTAGAATAGCCAGCAGAAGGCTGCCCCAAAGGCACCGAGAAAGAGCCATCGCCCCCATGCTCATGCACAGACAGGCCAGCAGGAGTGGTTGCCACCTGTGATAATCTTAACACTGTTAGCTTTCGATCACCCAGCATTTTTTAAACAAAAAATGAGGTGTTTTTTTTAAAATATGCAAATCTTTCTGAAAACGGAAGTCATCCCTCCCAATACTAATGCAAATATTAAATCATTGAAAAGCCATCTGGAGTACACTGCGCATTCTCAGCCAATAGCGAGCGTATGACCGCGGAGCTGACTGGGCTACGCGACTAACAAGGTCTACTCCAGAACGGACAACAGGCCTCAGAGAATGGTGGGTTTTCAAGTTTTATTTCCCTTTATGTAGTAATAGCTTCCTCCTTTTCTCCCTGTCGGGATATTAGTGATCACTTCCCACTGACTTTAGCAATAGCTTTCTGTAACAGCTTGTTCTATATCTACATCTAATTTGCAGGATACTAGAAAATCGGAGAATCAAGGTTTTTGGAGTTCTCTACAATAAGTGTAAATAGGCTCAGGGTGGGTGCCCAAGTAGCCAAGAACCTGAGTACCTGAGTACCTGAGTAAATTGCATGACCTCTCGTTTTCATTTTGGGTCCTAGAAGTTATACCAGTAGCTGTAATTTTGCTCACTTTCTGGTTGGTAATGGTGTTTCTGATAACTGAGGAAGCTGAATAAACAAACTCAGGACAACGTAACATTGTACCGGACAATCCCAGCTACCAAGTAATACTCCTAACTTCCCGACCCTCCACCTGTATTTCCTAAATGTATTAATAAGTCTTTGTTTGTGTATTTGACTTCATATGTAGTATCTTGGGAGTGCTTTTTATAACCAAACAAATTCTACAAATTAACACCTTTCTTCTTGATAAAACTCTCCCATTGATCCCTGCGCCACCC